ACTCTTGACACATGGAGTGTTGTTTTTCCCTATATTTTAACTGATCCCTATGTTTGTGCCAATTAAAGTAAAATGGGAGCAAACCCCACTCACTACTAGCACTGATGTTATGTAGTTTAGTACTAATGAAACATCTGCAAGAAAATAACCAATCTCAGAGAGTAAAAGACTCTTAATATAACGTAAAATTCTGTAATTTTGGAATGCAATTTAAAATTCCATTTATATATATATATAAAACTATATTCTCTAAAATTATATTAATGATTTGAAATCAAATGAAACTGATAGAATACAACCAAATTATATGAAAGAGCCCAGAAATATCTTACAATGCCATTATGAGAAATGCCATGACAAGAAATATTTAAGAATGAAAGTCTGTTTGGAAAGTTCAGTAAACATGAACCAAGAATTTCTAATTAAGCAACTTCTTAATTAGCATTTCTTAAAACTTGGGCCCATTGATTTTCCAAGAATTGCTTATTCCACAAATAAAATATTATCCTCCTAACTTTAATTTGCATCGAATTGAATTGTTAGGTTGTATTTCAAATACAGTTTCTAGGCATTGATCCCTTACTCAGCTTAGGATTTTCCCCCATTTTCAAATTAAGATTACTCCATAACATCTGTTTCTCACGTAATCAAGTTCAAAATTTAACAGCTTCTCTATTAATGCATCTAGCAGCCTTCAAAGCTATAAAGGTGTACATTTGCCTGATAAAAATTGACCCAAGAACTTGTCAGATTTCTAAAGACACTCTGGCTCTCTAAACAAACCCCAAGTAGATAATACATTTTCATTCTAAACAAACATTTTATCAAATTGAAGTGTCACTTTCAGGTTCTCAAGGTCTATTTAATACCCATTTCTAAGGCATTTTAAAGAAGGGCTAGTAAGGCACTAAAGAATAAAGAGAATGCACCTTGAAAAACAACAAAGGATGGCAATATCATTTCTTTTTTTACCTCAGGTTCTGAGTACCAGACTTCTCTTCTGATGCTTGCCAAAGTTGCTGTTCCATGTAGCCGATTCCAGGTGTCTTGTTGCTGAGAAAGATGGGAGGGCATGTCATAGAACAGTGGTGGCGAACCTATGGCACGGGTGCCGTTGCCCCAGCCTTGCCTTCCCCCATGACACCCTCCTCACCAGCAGCCCTCCTGGAGAAGGGTCGCCCCTGAGTGTGGCCCACAGAGCAATGCAGTCAAGAACATGGCAGCCAGGCAATTCTGCTCTCATGCCCCATCGCGTACAGTTGATGCTGCGGGGCATGGGCAGAGGGCATGACTGCCATGGTGCTGCTGAGCGATCTGCAGCGGGCCCTGGAGGCGATGAGTGGCCCTGCGGGCAGGCGGGGTGAGGCAGGAGCGGGGCCAGTTTTTGGGCACTCCGTCTCTAAAAGGTTCGCCATCACTGTCATAGGTTTTCTGGATCAATAAGAATGATACTAAACTTACTGTACTGACTCAATAAAAAGATAAAACTTAACTGCTTATTTATATTAACTCTTAATATTGCCTAATTATTGAAGTTGGAATCCAAGGAATGCACACATGCAGTAAAAATATTGGCATCTTCCTGACTACTTCAATCCTATTGACTCATGTATGTTTAAAATATAGGATTAGTCCAGATAGCCATATGCAGTAAGACAAATACAGCTAGTCCTCGACTTATGACTACAATTGATCCTAAAATTTTCATTTCTAAGCAAGACAATTGCTAAATGAGTTTTGCCCTTTTTTACGAGTTTTCTTGCCACAGATGTTAAATGAATCACTGCAGTTGTTAAGTTAGTAACATGGTTTATATGTGATGATATATTAAGTGAATATGGCTTCCTCATTGATTTTGCTTTTCAGAAGGTTGCAAAGGTGAGTGCATGATCCCAGGACATTGCAAACATCAAATACATGCCAGTTGCCAAGTGTCCAAATTTTGATTACATGACCATGGTAACACAGCAACGTCGTAAGTCAGTTTTTGGTCACTGAATGGTTGTAAGTTGAGACTACACAAGTTTTTCTAATCAGAAAAAGTCAACATAGCAACAGATATCAGCAGATGGATAATATCAAACCATTCTTACTTTAAAAGGAGATGTAAAATGTTATATAAAACTCACCTTGTATTTTTAAGATTGCATGTTACAAAGGATTCTCAACATATTTTAGGCAGTCTTCCTCAACCTGTTAACCTCCAGAGGAATTGGAATTAAATGTATAAACATCTTGCCAGACTATTAGCACAGAAGTCTGGAACTTGCAGTCTGACATCTCTGGCGTCACATTGGGGAAGACTGATGTTAACTTACCTACTTGGTAACAAATCCCAAAATTGGTTGCTTGACTTGGACAAACCTGATTGCTTGGCTTAACTCAGATTTGAATATCTGGCCAATTAGATCTTTGGTATACATTCTAACAGAGGTTCTATTGTTGTGTCTTACAGTAGTTCAGTGTTTTCTTGTCTTTCCATTTTTTCCTCAATCCCCTTGTTTAAGGAAGTTCTCATTAACTCAGTGAAATATAAACATCTATAATAATTGCATTGTGTTCTTTTATGTTTTGCATTTTTATAAAGAACATTAAAGCAAGAGAAGATCACTTAATTTTGACAATTTTGATCTTTCATCCTGTGTCTCCAAGTCTCTCTTGTGCATCTTGATTTATTACTCTGGGTGGAAGGCCAGTTTCTATAATAAATATGAATCATTAAGGGACAGTAATTGTCTGAAAAGCAAGAAAATAGGACAAACTTCCCAGATGTGCATTTTGTACACACAAGATGTATTTAGGGTTATTTTTAAAGCCAGACCTCCACGTTTTATCCTGCTAAAGCCTTTGATTGTGTGGATCACAACAAATTGTGGCAAGTTCTTAAAGAGATCGGAATACCAGACCATCTTATTTGTCTCTTGAGAAACCTATATGCGGGTCAAGAAGCAACAGTGAGAACTGGACACGGAACCACTGATTGGTTCAAAATTGGAAAAGGATTCCGGCAAGGCTGTATACTGTCGCCCTGCCTATTTAACTTATATGCAGAGCACATCATGAGAAAGGCAGGGCTAGATGAAACAAAAGTTGGAATTAAGATTGCCGTGAGAAATATCAACAACCTAAGATATGCAGATGATACCACTCTAAGGGCAGAAAGTGAAGAGGAACTAAGGAGCCTCTTGATGCGGGTGAAGAAGGAGAGTGCAAAAGTTGGCTTGAAACTCAACATTAAGAAAACCAAAATCATGGCATCCGGCCCTCTCAATTCCTGGCAAATGGGGAAGAAATGGAGGTAGTGACAGATTTTATTTTTCTGGGCTCCAAGACGCTTGCTCCTGGGGAGGAAACCTATGGCAAATTTAGACAGCATATTAAAAAGCAGAGACATCACCCTGCCAACAAAAGTCCAGGCCATGGTTTTCCCAGTTGCAATGTATGGCTGTGAAAGTTGGACCATAAGAAAGGCTGAGCGCCAAAGAATTGAGGCCTTTGAACTATGGTGCTGGAGAAGACTCCTGCGTGTCCCTTGGACTGCAAGGCGTTCAAACCGGTCAGTCCTAGAAGAGATCAACCCCGACTGCTCTATAGAAGGCCAGATCCTGAAGTTGAAACTCAAATACTTTGGCCCCCTAATGAGAAGGAAGGACTCATTGGAGAAGGGCCTAATGCCGGGAAAGATTGAGGGCAATAGAAGAAGGGGACGACAGAGAATGAGATGGCTGGATGGAGTCACTGAAGCAGTAGGTGTGAACTTAAATGGACTCCAGAAGATGGTAGAGGACAGGAAGACCTGGAGGAACGTTTTCCATGGGGTCGAGATGGGTCGGACACAACTTCGCAATTAACAACAACAAAATAAATAAAAAATATGCATCTCAGGTTAAAAAGCAGTTTCCGGCATCGTCTGTAAAATATTAAAAGAGGCTAAAGAGAGGCTGCCGTATCATTGAATTAATAGCATCTGGCCTCTAAATATTAGGATAAAGAAAATGCATCGCAATGCGGATGCTTGTGTCTTTATATTTTAAAGAAAAAAAATAAAGGGATCTCTCTTACCTGTGCATTCCTATTACCACAGTATGTATTTTCATTTTCGTAATGAGGGAATGGAAAGGAGTTCCTAGCGGGTGACATACTCAGCAGTACGGTTGCCAGTCGTGATGCCGGATCACGTTCTTTCTCCGCGTGTCAGTTTTGTTTAGGATATGATGGCGGTTGCTAAGCGACAGTGACCGAATTCTCCGGTCACTACGTATTGAAAGCGCCCTCTAATGGCTGGACATAAAAGCGAAGCTCTTGGAGGCAGGAAAAAACCCACAAAAACGGCGCGAGGCTGGAAAGGACAGAAGTCGGGAGACACTGTATGCTCCTTCACATGAAATAAAGAAAAATCAACCTTTACAAGAATATTTATAAAGTCGAACCCACGTTTCCTTCATTTTTACCGCTCATGGTTTAACCGCACTGAATAGCTCTGAAAGACCTTTACAATTCTCTCCCTTCCTGAAGCCCAGCGGGATTACACGGAAGAATTAGTCCCAGGTGAACGGAAACATTCAGACAGTGCCAGTCAAACACCAATATGAGAAGCGAGGCACCCCATTTAATGGTTTCAGAGCCCGAGAATAACTTTGGTTAAGGGGAGCGAGTTCCCAGGAACCGGCAGGCGAGGTGCGAACAGAGTCGGGCTGCTGCTTTCGGACCCTTAGCCGCTCCTGTGTCGAGAACGGCTGCCCAAAGCGCCACCCGTCACCCGGCTCAGGACTGGATCGTTAGTGCAGCGCGCGTGGCTTGAGCGACTCCGGCGAGGCCTTGCTGGGGCCGCTGAATGAGCGTAACCAAACGGCTTTCTTTCGTCGCGCGCGCCTTTCGAGCCTCAGGTGCTCCTTGGCCTCCGGAGGGCCGCACGGCGGAGGCAGCTGTGGTTGCTAGGCAGCGAGGTGTGGGCGGTCTGAGGGGGCGGGGCGGGTTCCTGCATCCTTTTCTGCCCCAGAGCGCGGCTACCGTCGCACCTGAGTCGGTGACTGTCTGTCCGAGGCGCAGCGCGACTACCGGCTCCTCGCTGTTTCTCCTGCGCCACGATGGCTGGAGCTGGCAGGCTTCATCCTGCTGAGGGGATAACCAGATGCTGCTGCCATCCTATTGGGATCAGGTGGAGGCGCCTGACGCTCCTTCTGCTCTGTCTGTTGTTGCTGCTTTGGGCGGGCACCGCTACCCAGGGGGAGAATCTCCACGCCTGCAAAGAGGTACCCGCGGGGGGACAGGGTGACATCTTACTCTTTCTGCGTGGGGAAAAGCGGGGAGGGGGCATCTGTGACCAGGTCGGAAGAGTGGAATCAGGGGGGTCCTTCCTTAAAATAATTGGCGAAATATCGTTGTGTGAGTCCTGGGTTTAAAAAAAAAAGAAAGCACTCTCCTATCAAAGTAGAGAAAAAGCCACTCTAGCTGCGCCTCGTTTCTTTCACTTAGGTCTGAATGAGCAAAAGCAAAATTTTTGACAGATTTTGATTGAGATGGGCATTGCAAACATAAACATCTGGCTTCCCCACCCCCCACCCTGCAAGTATTTTGGGCTACTAAGAAATAACACATTAGGATCAGCTTCTATTTAATGGGCTAACAGTGTGTGTGTGTGTGTGTAAAATGTGGAAGTAAACTAACTTCATACCACTTTAGAATGAGCAGAAGGAGAAGAGAAGACGTCAGAATTAACAAAATTTTGGTCAGCAATGAATCAGCAGAGGGGCTGAGTTTCGTTAAATCATTGCCCTCTGAATTTTGTACACATTACTTGTGAGACCTCTATTATCCCCATAGAAATGGACAGGTGTTGATGCTTTCTAAAGACCCATTCTATCTTAAATGTAGCCGAAATAGAGTGTAGCATATTTATTGTGACATGGGCTTTTGCTTAAAGATGTGTTAGCCTTGAAGATGCAGCTGTGTTCCCTGTTATTTAACAGTGGCTTTGGCCTAAGCAAATGTTCTAAAAGCAGCAGTGATACCTGCCTTGGCTTAAAGCAAAGGTAATAGCTAGAATACTGTACAACTTGCAAAGCAGAAGAGAGAGTCTATCTTTCAACTGCTGCTTAACTTTCTAGTGCATGAATATTTGTTTTGCTGGATCCCACACCCACTAGGTGCTGGCTGCAATTTACCTTGGGAAATTGACCAAATGTTTGCCTATTTTTTCTCTTCAGGTTACGTGGCAGGTTGTCAGTGAATCAGACAGTACTAACTTCCTAGTAGGTTAATATATCATTACATTAACATCTTTTGAGCTTGTTTTTGTTTCCTTTTGAAGGATATAAAGTATGGAAATGAAACTAAATACAATGAAATAAAATGGGGTAAAAGAATTATAGTAAAAAAGCAACCAGGCGCATGAGAGTTAATACCCTTGTATTTGCTTTTGTTATACAGACGATTGTTGCATTCCAGAGGCTAAAATGGGTGAGGCAAGTGATACTTCTTGCCATATGGTTCACTTTTTAAAATTGCTTTAGAAATGCCACTTTCCTGAATTTATTAAAATACAGTATGTTTTCCTATTGCACCTTTATGAGTAGCTTCTTAGATTTTTTTTTCAGTTCATTACACTGAAAATTATACCGCTTTAAAAGTTAGTGCTATTGCCGTAAAGGACTTTCTGCCCATATGAAGCTGAATTTGGTAACCATTGTCTACCTGGTACTCTGCTGTTTTGGAACTTCAGTTTCCATAATCCCCTGTCAACATGTTAACAGCTATGCCAGGTGAGAAACGTAGTCTTACCATATCTAAAGACGAAAGCTTACAGTGAGTTCTTATACTGTATGCATATATGCATCTATTAAATGTACAGCTTGCTTCTTATTACTGCTTATGCAGAAACCATTCCTTTGTTTTCTGTATTTACTGCCAATATAGTAATTCAAAATAAACAGACAGCAAACTTATAAAAATATGACTTCTTAAATCCTGAACATTTATAAAATCAACCCAAGAATGGGATATAACCACAGAGCATCAATTAAATTTTCAGGCTATATTATCGGTATGATTGTGAATGTTGCAATTTCAACTCTGTTGGAAACATGAGTGTAGTGGATAAAATAAGGAGTTCAGCAAGTAAACTGTTAAGTTTTCATAAAGACCATACAGATTTTCCTGAAGACTCAGTAGGACGATATGAAAAAGTTATAATACTATTTTTTCCTAAAAGACATATTGTTTCTAAATCAAGGATATGAATGCATGAATTTGGTTATGGGACCAACACATGGATCAATTCTTTGTGCCTTTGATAAATAGGTTTTTGCAAATATGTATGACAATGAGGCCTGGATGTGAATTAATTACAGGAGCTGTACAGTCAATTTTTAACAATACTGTAAGCTGAAGATAGAGGAATATCCATGAGCAGAAGGGCAGGGGTAAAAAAAAATCAAGATGGCAACTGAGACCACCTGATTGAAGACCTCCCTTGTTTATGTGTGTTATATAATAAACATATAAAAGAGGCAGGACTTTTGTTGCATTATGGTCATCATCTTGACTTTTTTGACCCGCTGAAGACTCTTCTGGTTGAAGATTTTCATTTGCTAGTTTATAGTGGTGAGCAGAGCAAAAAGATTATTTTGACATGGCTCTAGACAAAATAATTCCCAATGGCCCAGAGGAGATACATAGTATGCTTTTCTTATCATGTAAGATAAGAGATTAATGTAGATCCCAGGATAATGTAGAATAATTTCAGAATGATCAACTATGTCATTTTGATGGAAAAGTATTCAGAACACACTTTTCTCTGCACTCTCATGATTGCATAAAAATAAGTATTTGGTTTAACCGCAGCATCAAAAAATGGTTACCATTTCAATTGTCCAAGAATTTATTTACACATACCGTAATTGCTGCTTACTGCAGAAACTTAATTTCCTCAGAAACAATTTCTGATTAAATATTAGATTTATTCCAAATCATTTCAGGTTCATATACAAAAATATAATGTGACTCCTGTTGAAGGTGAGTCATTTTGAAGATTAGTAGAACTTGTTTCAAAGAGAATATGCTTTGGCTCATGGCCAGATGGCTCTGTGATCAACTTGGCAATTACATTATGTACTTGGGTTTTCATTTGATAAAAATATTTTTTATTTTATTAATTACTTCCTTTTTAACTGGTCAAATAAGATGATTAAAATTAAGTACCAAATAGTGGACTCTGATTTTTTTAAAGACCTGCACAGCTTTTGATCCACCCAGGTAATGCTACCATTAGGAACTAGGAGTTGCCTGGTTTTAATAACTTCCACAATTTTGGATTTTAGGATAGAAAAAAGGTTTCTTGTAGCCTAGATGGGAGCACTACAGCATTTAGTCATCTGTAACTCTGCCTTGTGCAGTAAACCCAGATGAAAATAATTGGTTCTCATTACTTACCTATGCTTAGCTTTTATGAGTCATATATAAATATCTCATTTACTTCAAGCCTGAAATGGAAATGATATAGTTGCATTTAGTGTGCTGGGCTACTGAGAAAAGGAAAGGAATATTAAATGAATTTAAGAACAACACCTGTTATTCAAAGATTTCAAGTTATTGGCAAGATTAGTTCTGCCTGACAAAATTCCAGCAATCAATTACAAAAGGCAACACTGCTTGGATCCGTACATATACTACACAGATAAATTATGACAGCCTAGGTTCTTGGGAAGAACTCAGTGTGGATGAAGGCCAACACCAGTTAAAGAAGTGGCAACTGTGATTTTACATTTTGTATAAATAATAATAGATTACAAAATGATGCTAAAGTGCTCTGAGACTTCAGAATTCCAACAGACAAGACCTGGAGAAAATCACAATAAACAAACCATCAAATAGAATTAGAATGACTCTTTTCAAAAGGAAACAAAGATAGTATCACTAGGTGTCTTGGATTCAATCCCAAAACATCTGGAGCATCATTTGAAGACCATCCTCATTGACAAAATCACCATCAGTCAATTGCAAAAGGCAGCTTTACTTGGAATAGTTCACATCCTGTGATGGTATCTTTAACATCATCAAATATCAATATCTGCCTATTCCAGGTCCCTAGGAAGGACTCGATGGAAGGATAAAAATACCAAAACCAGTCTAAACATCTGTCTGATTGTGCAACCTATCTATCATAATAGATTATTTGGATTTGTGGCTTATGCTACAATCAGTAGGTATGTGATATGCCACAACCCAAATATGGATAATTGAACACATTTAAAACATTTTAAAGTAAAAATTAGAAGGGATTTAATAAATTATGAGCCCTGTTGGTTACTTATATTAACACCTTTGTATTTATACTGTAGGCTAGATGAGTGAAATCTAAGACAGTTTATTGAATATTTAGAGCAGGGGTCTTCAAACTTGGCCCTTTTATGACTTGTGGACTTCAACTCCCAGAATGCATGCTCAGGAATTCTGGGAGCTGAAGTCCACAATTCATAAAAGGGCCAAGTTTGAAGACCCCTGATTTAGAGAATCTTGATTGCATTAATTTCTATCCTGCTCTTTACCTTTAAAGGTTTCCAGAGTAAGCCAATCCCTATAGCCAGATTTACATCATACAAAGATAAGACACGGAAGGAAAAGTTGACAGAGTGGACCAAAAAAAAAACAAAAATCATAGTCACCAGTTATTAATGTTTAATGGTTCTTCTACTAATTGTGAAAGAACTGAGACCCTCAGGCAAGGTTCAGAATAGATGATGTTGTTGTTCTTGCTGACAAGTCAGAGAGAAGGGAGGCCCCAGAGGAACTGGTAGCAATCTCAGCAAGTGGAGATGTCACTTCTTTGCTGTCTTCTGTACCCTTCATCTTTTCTAGGAAAAAAATGATAGAAGCGACGAAAAATAATAGTAAATTAACAAATAGAAATGGACATGTCTGGATTCTTCAAAATGTCCATAAATAAAGCAGAGCAACTGTACTACAAAGCTTACTTTCCAAAACATTCAAGGATTAATTTCCCTTTTTTCTGAATTAAAGCCTTTTTAAAAAAATTATTGATTTTGTTTGTTTATTTGTTTCAGTAGGTTGTAGCACTCTACCTAAGCATCCTGCCCTCTGGAAATGACTTTACAATCCCTAACAGATACATATAAGATAAATGTATACTGTATTATTAATAAGGCATTAAGATATATTTAGTATCCTAATAATCTCATGATCATTATTTTATTGATATTTATTGATATGTTTTTCCTTTTATTGTTCTGGAATC